AAAAAAAAAAAAAAAAAAAAAAAAAAAAAAAAAAAGCATTTAAGGCCTTTTGATTGTGGATGGGTCCTACACAAATATAGGGCTGGCACATAACAGATCCTTAATTAATGATGAATAAAAAAGATAAGTCCAGACCAGGGGTTGGCAAGTCTTTTCTGAAAAGGTCAGATAGTAAACATTTTTTGCATTTTGGCCTRTGCAGATTTTGTCATAACTACTCAACTGCTATTGTAGTAGGAAAATAACCACAGACTATATGCATACAAATGTACGCTGCTGTGTCCAATTAAATTTTATTTACCAAAAGAAGTTGTGTGTCACATTTGGTCCTAAGGTTATGGTTTGCCAACACCTGATACACACTTTGGGGAAAAAAAATGAAACTAATATTTATACAGAGTCTACCATTAGGTACTATTCTGTAATTTTAAAATCACAATCTCATTTTATTTTATTTAGTCCTCACAGCAACCCTAACTGCAAGGTAGATATTATCCACATCAAAAAAGTAAGTTAAACTACAAGCACTGTAATTTACCTTAATTTCATAGTTCTTGAAGAAGACATTGGCCTTGAAGTAATAGATGGCTTCATCCACAATATCTGTATCTTTTGCTAATCAGGAAGGGAGGAAGGTAGAGAATATCAGCAGCCAAGTGCAAACCATAACACCTATAAAAAGCTATAAAGAAACCCCCACCAAACTTAAGTCCCAAGTGTCCTGAAGTTGAACAAAATAAAATGAAGTTACTGAAATTATCTTAAAAAACTTGTTCTAGAAAAACAAGTACATAACTTTTTGGGGGGTCATTTTTGTAAAACTTATGTACACTCATTAGAAAAAGAATTCAATTAAGGGGCTGGGACTGTGGCTCAGCGGTAGACCACTTGCCTAAAAAATGTGGGGCCCTGGGTTCAATCCTCAGTACCACATATAAATGATGATGTCCAATTACAATTAAACAAGTATTTAAAAAATAATTCAATTAATACAAAAATATATTTTTAATTATCACCCCAAATCCCCGCTACATAGAAACAACTACTATTAACATTTAGTGAACATCATTCAAAGCCTCTCTCAATGCATTTATAGAAAAAGACTGAGATATAGGTTAACTTTAACGAAGTTTTTTTTTAAAAATAAAAGGTATTCAATATAATTTTTACGTAGTGTAGTTTCAGAGGAAAAAACACTCAATTATTTCAAATTTGTTGGGATTCAGACATATATCTTTCTTTTTATAAAAACTATGACTTGGGGCTGGGGATGTGGCTCAAGCGGTAGCATGCTCGCCTGGCATGCGTGCAACCCGGGTTTGATCCTCAGCACCACATATAAACAAAGATGTTGTGTCCACCGAAAACTAAAAAATAAATATTAAAAAAAATTCTCTCTCTCTTAAAAAATATAATAAAAAAATAAAAATAATAAAAATAAAAACTATGACTTAGTTGGGCATGGTAGTGCATGCCTGTAATCCCAACTTCTCAGGAAGCTAAGGCAGAAGGATCACAATTGTGTTCAAGGCCCACCCTCAGCAATTTAGGGGTACCCGGGCCCAAATTAAGAAATAAAATTTAAAAAAGGTCTGGGGATGTAGCTCAAGCCCCTGGGTTTAGTCCCCAGGAAGGCAAAAAACAAAAACAAAAACAAAAAAAACCCCAAAACCACAAAATGATGACTTAAATGTACTTGGGGGCTAGGAGTTTTCAGTGGTAGAGCTCTTGCCTGGCATGCACAAGGCCCTGGGTTCAATCACTAACCCTGGGGCGGAGAAAAAGCTGTTGGACAAGGCTACAGACTGAAAAAAGACAGAAATACTGCTGTGACAGAGACAGATGTCATTACACAATTTCTCTGGCAGTTTTTGGTTCTCCATTTTTTTTTTTTTTTAATTTTAAAAAGGTCAAAATACCAGGGTCTTGATATCCGGCAGCTGGTTTCAGTAATGCCAAGACACTTATTTATACTTCTTGTCCATGATTGTTATCCCTCACAAACAGAAATGCAAAGTAACCTCAAAGCTTTAATTCTCTGCAGTTCAGCTGTCTTTATCCCYGTTTATTCCTCTGTTGAAGAATTTCAATGGAATTCTAACTCTAGACTTATATTCCCTGCAATCTATTTTCTTAGGAAAAGGAATTTTCCTCAGAGAATGCAATCAGCTAGTTCTTCTAAACACAATGATAGGAGGTGGTGGAAGTGAAAATGATTCAGAATCTAGAAGAGTGCTTGGCATATAAAAGGCACTCCAAAGCTATCTGCTGAATATAAAGGAATCTGTGAGTATGTGGGATGCTAGGGATTGAATCCAGGGCCTTGCTAAATACATGCTCTAACACTGGGATAGAACCCCAGCCTCACAATTAATTAATGTTAAATTACTTAGCTCACAACACAGGCTTTCACTCTAATTTAGTATTAATCTAGTCCTTTTAGGAAGAGAAACAAGGTCACCCCTCAATATTTCTGGTTTCTTAGGGTCTCAATCTCCCGTGAGGGCCCAAGAATTGCAAAGGTGGTAGATTTATTCCATCCTTGTTCTACTGTACCTTCTGATATACTATATGGTATTTGTAACCATGTAGAAAGTGTTCTTCTCAAGACATCTGGGCCAACATTGATTCTTATGCTTTCTTTGCAGTGTAATTTTTTTTATATTATTAGTCTTCTTCTTGTGTCTTTTTCCATCTGTTCTTTTTTTTCTCAGAATCAAATAAAAACCATGGTGACTCACCAAATTTATTAAGTTTACTTAGCTTTAAACTGGTGTTGAAAACAGAATTAAATTAAGAGGCGGTCAAGTCAAATAGTCTGGCAGAAGAATGGAGATGGGATCAGTATAAAACTTGTAGTTATAACTATGGTCTTGGAAACCATGAGTGGAACTCAATCCAGACCCTTGCTGGGTGTAGGGAAACCATGTCTAACATAATTCAAATTATATTGTTGGCAGAACATCTCAGAATGTGTCAGAAGAATCTGTCTGAAAACAGAATAAGGCTTTTTTTTWAATTTTTTTTTTTTTTTAGTTGTAGATGAGCACAATACCTTTATTTATTTATTTATTTATTTGTGTGTGCTAAGGATTGAATCCAGTGCCTCACATGTGCTAGTCAAGTGCTCCACCACTGAGCTATAACCCCAGCCCCAGAATGAGGCTTTCTGAACAGCAGAAATGTTTCAAAAAGCAGAGTGACGTGGGATGGGGAATGTAGTTCAGGGGGTGAGTTTATGCTTAGCATTCACAAAGCACTGGGTTCAATTCCCAGTACCCCAAAACAAATTAAAAAAATCAAACAGCTACCAAAGAGAGAAAATTAAAAAAAAAAAAAAAAAAAAGCAAGAGTAGACACAATGAGGGCTTGTGGCTCAGTGGAAAAGCATTTGCCTTGCAAGTGTGAGGTACTGGGTTCCATTCTAGAACAACATAAAAACAAATACAGACACTAAGTCCATACACAACTAAAAACAATATTAAAACAAACAAACAAAAAAGAGTAGATACAATGGGCTGTGGCTCAGTGGTAAAGCGCTCGCCTGGCACACATGAGGCACTGGGATCAATCTTCAGCACCACATAAAAATAAAATAAAGATATTGTGTCCGCATACAACTAAAAAAATACACTTAAAAAAAATAAAAGAGAGTAGGGGCTGGGGCTATGGCTCAGTGGTAGAGCACTTGCCTAGAATGTGTGAGGTGCTAGGTACAGTCATCAGCACCACATAAAAATAAATAAAGATATTGTGTCCAACTACAACTAAAATAAATAACTAAATAAAAAAGAGTAGACACAGTAATGTTATAGAGCATATTTAAGATTTTAGAGTAGCAGGCTGGGGATGTGGCTCAAGCGGTAGGGCGCTCGCCTGGCATGCGTGCGGCCCAGGTTCRATCCTCAGCACCGAAAACTAAAAAATAAATATTAAAAAAAAAAAAAAGATTTTAGAGTAGCAAGCAGATCAGGGGAGGGAGGAGAAGAAGGAAAGGGAATGTATTGGAGAATGTGACTGATCACTTATGTGCATGTACAAATATGGCATAATGAATTCCACTGCTATGTATAATTACAATGCACCAATTGAAAAAAAGTAAAAAAAAAGATATAAGAATGAGGTAGTGTTAAAAATGAAGATCCTGAAGAATGAACAAAGGAAAAATATTTAGATAGGGAAGAGGTTAAAATACTTTTTGTTGCTTGTTTTTCCCACTGTGATGACAGAGAAAGGATGGGGACATGGCATTTAACAGAGATAGCAGCATTAGATTAGTTTAAAAGGCTGATAGTGAGCCAGGTGCAGTGGCACACGGCTATAATCCCAGAGGCTCGAAAGGCTGAGGCAGGAGGAGAGTGAGTTCAAAGCCAGCCTCAGCAATAGTGAGGCACTAAGTAATTCAGAGAGACCCTGTCTCTAAATAAAATACAAAATAGGGTTGGGGATGTGGCTCAGTGGTTGAGTGTTCTTGAATTCAATCCCCAGTTACCCCCACCTCCTTCCCCAAATAAAAAGACTGACAGTGATTGCAGGAACAGTTTCCAAAATTAAGCACATTTTCTCTCAACAAAGTATTCCAGAGAAATTAGAATAACATAGTTTCCTATTAAATGCAACATACAACCTCAGTCTTGAAAAATACAACACCCACCAAGCAAACAGAAGGAAGAGAACAATCTGAGGTAGGACTAGGTTCTGAATTTCTCAGATTTAATGTCAGAAGTTTAGGCATTTCATAGCAAAATTTGAAAATAATGGTTTAGACTTACTCTCTCTAGGGGCAGGTCCTTTGAACTGACTTCTGATAGGCAACAGGGCCATGTTTCCAATGAGTTTGGTGTCGGGGTCCATGAGGGAAGAGTGGTAAGCCTGTAGTGGCAAGCCAGGTAAGAAAACAGAAACAGAATGATAGCAAATGTCACTGGGGTGACAAATACATTCTTCCAAAGGAAAAGAAGAAGGGATGGCAGCAGCAAAGTGCTGGAGCTGGCTCTTACTGAAAACCAATTGTTAAATTCTGAGGAATTATGCAAGTAGTTATTAAACACAGTCAAAAATTAAATTTGTAAATTTATAATTATATTTTAAAAACAAAAACAATAAGTATTCAACCACTTCCCAATTTAAAAAAATTACATTTTACTATTGTCTATGTTCTCAGGGTTTTTTTAGGCCTTTTCTATCTTTGTAGTAGAAATACTGTATGATAGGATGCTACTGTGTATGTCTTCCAATTTTGTATTCAGTGACATCACAGTGATAACTGCTGGAAATATTTTCATTAGAGAAAGAGGCAAATAGAATATATCAGGGTACCCCCCCCTCCAGTTAAACCAGGACCCAAGTACTACCTTTTCAGTTTTGCTACTTCCTGGCTTTATGATTTCAACAAAAACATCACTTTTCTTCCTTAGCCTGTTTCCAAATTTGTAAAATGTGTATGATGAGTGATATGCACCACCTTTAGTGGGAGGTGTGAGTTAAAGGAGAGGGAAAAAGAATACCTGTGAGAGCAATTTTAATGCTGACTCCTACTTTTGCTTTTTAAAGAAGTCTGGCTTTTTAGAAGACAACATATCCATTCATAGATTCATTAATTCACCAAATGATTACCAAGCATCTTCTATGTGCAAGGGACAGTGATACAGTTGATATAAGACCAGTGTGGTACTTGTTCTTAAAGAACTTTCAGGCTAATGGAGAAAGCAGATGCAAAATAAATAACAGAGAAATCCAGGATGCTTTATGCATAACTGGAATGAGCCCAGAGCTTTACAGTTCTGGCTTAAAATCTTGCTTTACCACTAGTGTGAAAGTTATTTAATTTCTGTGGACCTCAGTCTCCTCTACTGCAAAATAAACAATAATGGTATCTACTTCATAAGGTCACATTGAGATTTATTATTTAAAAATTTTTATTGGTGCATTATAATTACACATAATAGAAGGGAGTCATTATGACATATTCATACAGGCACATAACATAATTTAGTCTATTTCATTCCCCAGTATTTCCTCTTTCCCCTTCTCTCCTCCCTTCCCCTTAACTTTGAGTCTGGCTTATTTTGCTTAATATAATGCTCTCAAGTTCCATCCATTTTCCTGCAAATTATATAACTTTTGTTCTTCTTTTTAAAAAATATTTATTTTTAGTTGTAGTTGGTCACAATATCTTTATTTTATTCATTTATTTTTATGTGGTGCTGAGGATGGAATCCAGTACCTTGCACGTGCTAGGCAAGTGCTCTACCACTGAGCCACAACCCCAGCCCCAACTTTGTTCTTCTTTATGACTAAATAAAACTCCATCGTGTTCAATTAAGAATTAAATAGAAACCCAATTACTATATATAACCACTAAATAATAATAATAATAATAATAATAATAATAATAATAATAAAGCAAACAGAATACTTTATGAAGTGTGTAGCTCTGGTCCGGGAGTCAAATGATAATTATGGAATTTGTGAAATACATAGCTGTAAGTATGGCCTGCTCCTTTTCATCACAGGTATGCCTTACATAAAGCAAGCCCTGCCGTCCCATTCACCAGTAACTGTCTTGTTATCCACCTATTTCTTCCATTGCATCTGTCACTATCTGAAACTCCGCTATTTGTTTACATTTTTTTTTTATTGTCTGTCTCCCTATTAGACTGTCAACTCCTTAAAAGTGGAGATTTGTTGGCCTCACTCGCTGCTGTAGAAGTGTTCAGCCTGCAGCAGATGCTCAGTAATGTTTGTTGAATGTAATGCATGTCACTGAATCACCTTTTTCCTAACCTGCAAAACYGAAACCACAATGGCTACAAATCCGTCAGACCCGCAGGACAACCGGGCCATCATCAATTTTCACTCCTATCCCCATGCACACGAAAAAAGAAACACCTGGAAACCCAAGCCGACCCCGAGGCGAAGGATTTCTCAACCCAGCTGGATCGGAGGTGGCCGCCACGCGGAGGCGATACGTCAGTCCGGGAAGTGGGGTCTGACAGAAGACAAGCAGCAGGCGGGATCCGTCCCCTAAGGCGGAGGAGGAACTGGCGCTGGCAGAAAAAAGAAGCTGGACTCTGGGCTTGAAAAATGAAGAATAGGGGCTGGGGACATAGCTCAGTTGCTTGCCTAACATGCATAAGGCCCTGGGTTCAATCTCCAGCATCACCACCAAAAAAAAAAAAAAAAAAAAAAAAGAAGAAGAAGAAGAAAAAGCGTAGTCTTTTTAACCGCGGCCGCAGTGAGTCTTCCGGTCCCAGCTGGCCTCAGGGGGAGCAGAGGGGCGAGGGAAGGGGCCGGGAAGGGCTCTGGCGGCCTCCTCCCTCGCCCGGCCGCCGGGCCACACTGCCGCGCCCCACGACCCCCCACGCCGACACCCCCGGCCTCCCCAACACTAAAGAGACTGGTCCCGTTCCTCGCCTCTCCCCTTTTCAGGCCCCCGCTTTTCTCAGCACGCGCACGACTTCCCGCCGCTTTCCCCAACACCCACTGTGTCCCCACAACTCGGGCTCGAACCCTTACCGGCATCTTGGCGACGCTGGGGTTTGGACTCAGAAGCAAGATCTAGTTAAAGCGCTGCGCTTCCGTTCTGGGGACCAGGGCGGAGTAGGCGGAAGTGAGCCGGGAGGGGAGGGCAAGAAGAGGACGCGACGTTTCCGGCCTTGCCTTCTCGCCGCCGTCTGCTGCGGCTGCAAGGATCAGAAGGTGCGTCAGGGGGCGTCCGAGCTCTGGGCAGGGTCTCTGAGTACCGCGCATGTGTAAAGCGCATGCGGACCAGGGAGGTGTTTGAGGCTTACGGTATCCCAGTGACTAATCACCTTTGTTTTTCCTTAAAACTCACCTTTTCAGTGAAAATTAATTCCCTAATCACACCTTTAAATTCAACCCCACTCCAACCCCCTGCTTTAAGTGAGAAAACCTTTTCCCCTCAGTTTTATGATTCTGCTTTTCCTTTTGATGTCGTCTGTTGCCCCACCCTTGTGAATGTTAAAAAGGCAGGGCTGTCGTCTGCTTTGTTCACTGGTATCCCCCGCGCCGGTGACAGTCACTGTACATTGTAAGCATCGGTGAATATTTGTTGAGTGAATGAACTCCACCGACTGCCTTCAAAAAAGGGAAGTTGGGGGCTGGGGATGTGGCTCAAGCGGTAGCGCGCTCGCCTGGCATAGCGTGCGACCCGGGTTCGATCCTCAGCACCACGTACCAACAAAGATGTGTCTGCCGAGAACTAAAAAATAAATATTAAAAAAAAAA